GACCGTAGCACACCAATACTGTCCAAGAGGTTTTCTTGGCAAAGATACTGGAGTGGTTTGACATTTCCTTCTCCAGTGGATTAAGGCAAACAGAGGCTAAGTGACTTACCCAGGGTCACACAGCTAGTAAGTTCTGAAGCTTGATTTGAACTCAGGTTTTCTGATTCCAGGCCCAGCTCTCTATCCACTGAGCCACCTAGCTGCCCACTTCCTCAGGTTCCAAGTTGACTAAAGAACTTCACACCTTGTAAATGGATATCAAAGTGTAAACATTTTATTTCATTTAAGGCCTCATTATCTCTGTTATCTGCCCCTTATATTCTCCAGTTTTATAAAGTGGGCTGGGGGAAATCAATTGATCAGGAATCTCCTGATCAGCTCTCTTCCTCCTATCCTTCTATCCCCACTACATATAATAACCCTATACATACCCAATCAAAGAAAGATTCTCATTTAATTCAATGGGGATAGTTCTCCCCCCCAGCAGAATCCTGACAGAGACCAGGTTACAGTTTACAATGGAGACATATAGACATATATCTCTGTGTTTATATATATATATATATGTATATGTGTATGTATATGTATGTGTATTTGTATACATATGTGTATGTATATATGTATCTGCTTAGCTCGCCATTTCTCTGCATGTTGAAACACTGCTATTTCTTGAAATTGTTCTGGATGTGTTACAATATCCTGGATTTCTTCACTGCCCAAGAAGATGGTAGTAACTCTGGGGAGAAGAAGCTGGTTGCTATGTGTGTGTAACTATATTAAGGGATATGGGGTTGCATTGAAAGAAGGTTATATCAAGATGTGACTAGATGTAGGAGGGAAAAGAGAATCACCTCTCTGGTGTTTCTTGGCAAATTTACAGGTTTGAAGCATGACAAGAAGCCTGATTTTTACATTGTGGGACTAAGGAATCACTTTCATTCCTCTGCAATCATCTCATATAGAAAAGTTTAGTATTGTAGGAACAGTGTTTCCCCGATGGAACAATTTTTCTCCAACTGCAACATGGAGAAGCTTTACCTAAAAGAAGACGAAGCTGCCCCGGGGCCTTGATTGGCCTAAGCTTCCCTCATATGTGCCCATCCTCTACCTTTAATCCCACTCCCCAGCTCCCAGACAACATGAGGTAGGTGCAGGGCAAAGCTGCCCCTGGGACCTGAGTCATTTAGGGCCATAAAAAAATCCCATCCTGTGCGATGTAGGTCTCTCAGACTCGATGGGTGTCTGAGACCTGGAGAACTGCCAAACCCTGATGACCTAATGATCAGATGGGTTTCCATATGGGGGAAGAAAAAAAGCTAAGTGCCATTGCATCCTCGTATATCCTTGCCATATTAGGGCAAAGTCAACCTCCTTGTGTTAAATATTCAGTGCCTTTTGGGCAGCTAAGTGGCTCAGAGAATAGATCATTGGCCCTAGAGTCAGGAAGACCTGAGTTCAAATCTGGCCTCAGACACTTGATACTTACTAGCTGTGAGACCCTGGGCAAGTCACGTAACCCCCATTGCTTCACAAAAAAAAATTAAAAAAAAAATTCAGTGACTTTTGAGTGCCTCATTTGGTCCCAACTTCAAACTGTTAGAGCCAGAGTCTAAAAGACTATCATTATGTCCTTAGATCAATGCACTAATCTAGGAAAGAAGAGCTCTTTGGGAGAGCAAGCGGCTTGGAGAACAGAAAGCAGAGAGAAGAATCTCCTGGGAGTATTTCTATCCAGATTATATTGACTAGTGTCAGATCAGGGAAGTGAGGTGGCACAATGAATAGAGCACTTGGCCTAGAGTCAGGAGGACTCATCATCCTGAGTTCAAATCTGGTCTCAGACACTTTCTAGCTACGTGACCCTGGGCAAGTCACTTAACCCAGATTGCCTCAGTTTCCTCATCTGTAAAATGAGCTGGAGAGGGAAATGTCAAACTACTCCAGCATCTTTGCCAAGAAAACCCCAAATGGGGGTCATAAAGAGCTGGACACAACTGAAGTGTCACATCACCCTCACTTATTCTCATGTTTATAACTCTCTCTCTCTCACTCTTACACACACACACATACAAACACACACACACATACACACACCCCTCATCTTCCAGTTATATCATCTCTCTGTCAATTTCTTCCATGTCTTACTTTGTAATGAATATATCTATGAATTTATAAAATCATAAGAGTTCTAGGTAGGTATTTTAAAGTGCTTTTCACATACTACCTGTGTGAAGTAGACAGCACAAGTATTATTTTTCCCATTTTATAGACATCCAGTCACACAATTAATAGGTAAAGAGCTACAATTTTGGTCCACGTTTTCTCCCTTTGCTCCTGATTGATCTCCAGCTCAGTGGAAGAAGTGGAACCTGAACAGTATCCTGAGCAGCTAGATGGCGAAGTGGATAGAGAATCAGGAAGACTCACGTTCCTGAATTTCCAATCTGGCCTTAGACACTTCCTAGCTGTATGACCCTAAGCAAGTCACTTAACCTTGCTTGCCTCAGTTTCCTCAACTGTAAAATGGACAGGAGAAGGAAATGGTAAACCACTCCAGTATCTCTGCCAAGAAAACCCCAAAAGGGGTCATGAAGAGTTGGACAGGACTGAAACAGCTAACCAACACTAACAGACAGTGTCCTGGTGGAAAAGCATGTTCTAATGGAACAACTCATGGAAGGTGTTGAGAAAGCAGACTGAAAAGGGTTTCAGCTGAGAGAGTGAGCATGATTTATTCTGGCTGCATGTACAAATGTCTATTACATATACATAATTTTTCATTATATAATACGTAATCATAATTGTGAGCCTTGCAATTATCTAAGTATGATATATAAATACTGTTGATAGATATGTTTCATGGCTAAAGGAAGTGCAGCTCAGAGAGGTCATAATTAGTCAGCCAATAACCATTTATCAAGCACCTACTATGTGCCAGGCACTGTGCTAAGTGCTGGGAATACAAAGAAAGGCTAAAGACAGTCCCTACTCTCAAGGAGCTCACAATCTGATAGGGAAGAAAACACGCAAACAAGAAACATGATATAGACAGGATAAAAAGGTAATGAGATCATGCAATCTGGAAGGCACCTTAAAGGCCACTGAATCCAATTTCCTCATTTTACAAATAAGAAACTAAGACACAGAGTGGTTGAGTGACTTGCCTCAGGTCACACAGCTAGAAAGTGATAGAAATGGGATCTGAATTCAGGTCTTTCTAAATCTTAAGTGTAACACTATCTATTATGCCATACTATCCCTCTCCCTTCCCACCCTGGCCTCTACCCTGCTTGGCAGAGAAGGTACCAATCTGTATTTGTAGAGGAAGATTCTCGCTGAAAACTCCCTATGCTAGTGAAATCATAGGTATGGAGAAAAAAAATTGCTCTAATGGTAGGAGAGAAAGAGAGAGAAAGAGAGAGAGAGAGAATTTGTGTCTAGACAGGCCATCTGTTGTTAATCAATTCATACAGTGGCACTGATGTCTTTAACTGGCAGAGCTGTTGTTTGGTCAGTTTTAGCTGTGTTAGACTCTTGGTGACCCATTTGGGGTTTTCTTGGGAAAGATACTGAAGATTCCTTCTCTAACTCATTTTACAGATGAGGAAACTGAGGCAAACAGGATGTAGTGACTTGCCCAGGGTCACACAGCTAGGAAGTATTTGAGGCCAGATTTGAACTCAGGAAGATGAGTCCTCCTTTCTCCAGGTCTGGCACTCTATCCACTAGCTACCCTAAACTAGCAGAGTACCTTGTTCATAAATACAAGCTTAATAAATATCTTTTGACTTTGATTGGATTTGATTTACATTTCAAATATAAATAAAATCCATCAACATTTCTAGTCAAAAACACACTCTGCAAGTGCTGACTGGGATCCTCGGGTCAATGTTTCCTGGTAGTAAGGCTCTCCCAGTCATTGAACAGTATTCACTTAATTTCCTGATATTTAACACTTATCTGCTCAACATATTCTGATTCCTTCCCAGTGCTCTCTACCAAACAGAGAAGTCTCCAGGAGAGGTCACTATGTCACATCATATCACCTGGGAACACTGACCTGATGAGACAGGAGCTCACATTAATTATGCAAACACATAGGTTAAAATGAGAAGAATTTTCTCAATCTTACAGAGAAAATGAAATCATTATTCATAGCTGATGAATAACAGAGAATAAGCATCATGTTGGTTGAAGAACAGGGGTGAGTAGCAAAGGAAATGAGTGTACACTCATTCTCTCTTACGTAGGTTAGTGAAAATTAGTAACATAAGAAATTCGGCAAAAGTTCCAAATGGGAGTTTTGGGGGCTAGGTTTAATCCTGGTGTTACTACTGACTGGTTATTCAACTTTAGATAAGTTCATCTGACCTGTCTGGGCCTCAAGTGCCACAGCTGTAAAATGAGGGAGTGGGAGCAGGCATTTCCCTTCCAACTCAATATTCTGTGATGCTAGGAAATGTGTGACTATTAATGAATTTATCTTTGCTCACAATTAATTCTTTCTGGTGTCTCAGGGTTTCAGAATAATATGTTTCAGAAACATATTACCAGTAGCAGACTAAATGACCAATATTATTTCAGTCTAAGAAAGTGAAGGACTCCTTCCAAAAAAAACCACAAAAAACAAACTCAAATCAAAATATTAAAGAGAAGAGAGCAGAGCTACTTTGAGTAGGATTTAGTTGAAAAAAAAAATAGATAGCATTTCTTTTACCCAATAAGTTAAGGCAGCGCTCCAATTATAAGAAGCAAGTGATATTAATTTTAAAAAGAAAATCAGGTCCTAAATCCCTCTTGCTGTTGATATTTCTGGGACTTAGTTGTATCCAAGATTACACACTTCCCTCCTTCCTCCCTCAGATTTGGGAGAAGAATCCAGCAAAACAATTTACAGGATGCCCTCCTCTAGCGCACATGTGCAGTGGTGACAGCTGAATGGGGTGGAGGCAGTGAGTACAAGAACCTTCTTTGAGAACAGAAAATAGCCAGCTACTCACCGGTGGTCTCTTCCAAACAAACTGGATGGGGAACTTCTGGCTGTAGAACAGAGAGGTCTCATCGGGGGGGAAATCAGGATCCACATACAGAACCTTCTTTTCTAGACATTTCTTGTGCAGCTGCTCAAAAGTCTTCTCCTTCACTCCAATAATAGGGAAATTCCGGCTGATAATAGCTGAATAGATGCCCCCAGAATTCACCCCACCTGTATCGGTGGTTGGGGCATGGACTGGGGGAGGAACCACTCCTGGAGAGAGTGGGCCAGCCTTTGTCGGCTGAGCCACCGAAGTTTTAATGACTATTGGCATCACTGCAAAATAAGAAGGAAAAAATGTTTTCGAAAGAGATGAAGAAAGTGTTACCTCCAAGGAAAGGAAGCAACAGTAAAGAGGAAGTTAATGCCGTTCAACTGAAGGCTTTGTCCTTTGAGAAACAACGTCAACATTGAGACTTCAGAATTTTAAAACTGTCTGGAAGGTTGTTCTGCATATGTCCATCCCAGATAGCTTAGTATGATCATATGGTCCCCTGTAGCCAAGACTTTTTTTTTTTCTGATCAAGGAACAAGAAAAGTCACTTTTATCTCAGGGGTTCTTAGCAGGAGCATGTACGCCAGAGAGAAGAAGAGTGTGTGTGTCTATATCAGGGGCTCAGAGAAGCTTGAGCCAGGACAACTAAAAATAAACATGAAGAAAGTTAATGCATGTGAGCAGAAGAGAGAGGCTAGCAGGAGGCTGTTTTCTGAGTTGTCTTATTCCTGAGAAGAGTGACTTGGCTAGGGAAATTTCTACAAGCTTGTATCACTGTGAGGCAATGTTGTTTATGGAAAGGGTAAATAGTATGCTTGAAATTAGCGAAAGAAGCAATTGACTAAGAAGAATTGCCCAGGAGTCATTGAACAGGAAACAGTGCCATCTAATAGCCAATTCATGAAAATCTATACTGAGAAGAGAGAGCAAGGAAGAATGTTGTGTTCTTGAATTCTGGAGAAACATATTCCCTTCAAGAACATACATTTTTCATTTCTAAGACTCTGATGGGATAGCAGAACGCTATCTGGAGATAGTGGCTAGGTAGCATAGAGGATAGAGCACCGGTTCTGGAGCCCGGAAGACTCATCTCCCTGAGTTTAAATCTGACCTCAGCCACTTACCAGCTGTGTGACCCTGAGCAAGTCACTTAACCTTCTTTGCCTCAGTTTCCTCACTTGTAAAATGATAACTGGAGAAGGAAATGGCAAACCACATTAGTGTCTTTGCCAAGAAAACCCCAAATGGGGTCACAAAGAGTCGGACATGACTGAAAAATGACTGAAGAATAAAATCTGGAGCTGGAGCTGGTATCTCTTCTAGATGAATAAGTTTGGGGGGGATTACCTTAGTTTGGAAGGATCTGCATACCAGCTGAGCTCCTTAGCTAAGAAAACTTTCCCTCCCACTCACGTTCATGTGATCTCCCTGGAATAGTCAACTCTGGTAGGTCAGCCAAAGTGCGCAGTGAAGTGGCACTCACTTGATTTCTCAGGAATCCCATTTTAGGGAACTGACTTAAGATCTAGAATGGCATTCTGAACAAACTGGTCAGTCAGTGTAGGGCAGGATCCCCGCAGGTTCAGTAGCCATTTGACCGACAAATGGAATGGCTCTGGAGATGAAAAATGACTGGGTGTCTCTGGACATAGTATTCTAGCTTCATGTTCTGTAGTTTTGCACATGCCATCACCTCTGCCTAAAACACACTCCCTTTTTCACCTCTACCTCCACATCTATCCTGTATGTGATCAATCAATGGACAAGTATTTATTAAGTTTCTACTATGTGCCAGAAATTGTACTAAGTGCTAAAGATACAAATATTACCCCTCCTTAGAAGGGGCTTACCTTCCAATTGGGGGAGAGGGAGAGAAATACATTTATAAGTATATACAGTATAAAAATAAAAATAATACAAATTCATTAATGCAAAGTAATTTAAAAGGGAGGGTATTAGCAGTTGAGAGGATTAGAAAAAGGTTCGTGTAGTTTCATTTTTCTTTCTCGAAGAGGACCATCACAAGGGTGATGTCTTGACTTGAGGGTGAATTGGATTTAAGCAAGGCAGAGTTTCTCAAAGTGTTAGCCTCACTCTTTCCTTTAGAGTCATTGAAGTCCAGGGGCAAGAAAAGAGTCAAGATGACTGGCAATGGCCTGGGATACAGTGGGTGACCTTGGCCTTTCTAAATGATTTGTGTTTCCCAGGTTTCAGTTTGTCTGAGGCAATGCCCATTCAATGACTAAGGGCTAGGTAAGAATTGAGACAGAAGATGGCTTAATTTAACCATCACAAAAATGTCATTGCTGTCCTTCCTTCTTGGAGGACCAATGACATCACAATGTCTTGACTTGTGCATGATTGCATCTTGAAGGAAGGAAGGGATTCTATGAGGCAAATTTGAAAAATGAAGGAATGCATTGAAAACACGGGGGTCTATGGCTAGTACAAAGAAACAGAGAGATGTCAAGTGTCATGTGTGAGGAATAGAAAGAAGAGCAGCTGATCTGAATTACAGTGTGTGGGAGGGGGAGTAATATCCAATGAGGCTGGAAAGATAGATGGGGAAAAGTTGTGAAAGGCTTCATAAGATAAACACTACAAATGCAGAATTGTGAAGAAGTGACATAGATTCAGAGAAATGGGTTCCTGAAAAAGTACAGAGGAATAGTTGATGGGAAGGGAACAAGCATTTATTAAGTTCCTTTTATGTGCCAGACACTGTGCTAAATGCTTTACAAATATTATATCACTGCATCCTCAACCCCGGGAAGTAGGTGCTATTATTATTACCCTTTACATCTGAGGAAGCTGAGGCAGACAGAAATTAAGTGACTTGCCCAGGGTCATACCACTAGTAAATATCGGAGACCAAATTTGAACTCAAGTCTCTCTTGACTCCAGGCCCAGTGCTCTTTGCTGCCAGTTGCCTAACGGGTAGCCTGTGTATTTCACTGGTAACCACATAATGACAAAAGATCTGGAGAAGGCCCATAGCATCCCCCTGGGATGGATTTATGGGAGGATATGGAAAAGAATCCTACAGGACAGGCAGGCGCAGATGGGCTGTGATTCAACAATGCTCAGCAAACATGTATTAAGTACCTACTATGTGCAGAGTGCTGTGTAAGATGCTGGGAAAGATATAAAATTTAGGTAAGACTTGGTTCTCATAGAACCTATAGTTTAGAAGAGGGATAAGATATAAACACAAATAACCAACACTGGAGAGAATATTCACATTAGGGAGATAACAGATCCCTCAAAGTATAAAAAAACAAGTATAATTACGGGTAAACTTCAGAATCTTAGGACTAGAAAGGATAGAAGGGAAAAACAGCAACAACAACAATAACTACCACCAGAATTTATGAAACACTTACTATATTCTAGGCACTATGCTAAGTGTTGGGAACTACACAAAAGAAAAGAAAGTTCCTGCCCTCAAGGATCTTATGTTCCAATGGAGGAAGATAATACATAAAAGGAAGCAGAAAAATTGGGGTAGGAGGGGAAGGAAAAGTATCCATCTGGGAGAATGGTGGAAAAAACAGCAGAGAAAGCATGGAGGAGAATAAAAAGTCTTTATTTATTTTTTGGGCTAGGCAATGGGGTTAAGTGACTTGCCCAGGGTCACATAGCTAATAAGCGTTATGTATCTGAGGCCAGATTTGAACTCAGGTCCTCCTGAATCCAGGGCCAGTGCTCTATCCACTGCACCACCTAGCTGCCCCTAAAAAGCCTTTATTAAATGCTTATTGTGTGCCAACTCTGTGCTAAATGCTAAGGATACAAATAGAAAATCAAGATGGTCCCAACTCTCAAGGAACTTACATTCTAATTGGTGGAGGAAACACATAAAGGAAGGCTCATGTTCATGTTCGGTTCATGGCAGATGTAAAGGCCAGGGAGGACTCAGGTTCTGGCAAGGAAAGCAATAGGACTAATGATAAGGCCTTGAAGACTTTGGGGAATAATGATGGGGCAGATGGAACCTGGCCAATAGGATAGGGGTCCAAAGGTCAGAGTGAAGTGGGGCTCATCTAATAAGGCCCTACTCATTTTACTGATAAGGAAACTGAGGCCTGCAGAGGAACAGTGATTTCTTTAAATTTACACAGTTAATGGCATTTAAATCCAGGTCTCCAGATTCTCAGTCAAGGGATTGGTGCATACAAAGTGAGAACATACTTCTTTTGATGTGGATGATTTGGTAAGCACTTATCTCATTGCCCTTAAAAAAAAAAAAAAGGCAAACTAGACCATCTTTTCCTTTAATTCTTACCTAGCTTTTAATTACTGAATGGGTGTTGCCTCAGACAAATTGAGACCTGGGACAGACCACAGCTTAACAAGGCCAAAGTCTCCCATTGCATCCTGGGCCATCGCCAGTTGTCTTGACCTATGTCTTGTCACTGGATTCCAATGACTCTGGAGGAGAGAGTGAGCCTTATGACTTTGTACAACTCTACCTCATTTAAATCCTATTCATTTGCAAGTCAAAACATCACCCTCCTGATATCATCTTTGAGAATGAAGGAGAAACAACAATCTCAGGACTGTTAATTGTAATATTTACAGTCCACTGTTAGCTTTCAACCACACTCAACAAGCATGCATTAAGCACCTACTGTGTGCAGAGCACTATACCAGATGACTATGAAAACATATAGAGTTTAGATAAGACCTGATCCTTGAGGAATGTAATTAGAATGTTTAAGAGTCCTTCACTGTGATGTTTAGGGCCCATTGCTTCCTTTCAACCATACTCAAAAAGCATGCATTAAGCACCTACTGTGTGCAGAACACTATACCAGGGACTTTTGTTGTTGTTGAGTCATTTTCAGTCGTGTGCACCTCTTCATGACCCCATTTGGGATTTAGAGTTAAGACAAGAAGTTATAGTCTATTTTTTTTTTTTAGGCAATTAGGGTTAAGTGACTTGCCCAGGGTCACACAGCTAGTTAAGTGTCAAGTGTTTGGTCTGAGGCCAGATTTGAACTCAAGTTCTTCTGACTTTGGGGCCAGTGCTCTATTCACTGCGCCACCTAGCTGCCCCAAGAAGTTATAGTCTAGAAGGAGGATAAGATATAAACACAAATCATAAATGCAATATTACATAATGAGAGTATTCCAGAGTTATGGAACTAAGTACTATGTGAAATACAAGGGAGAAGATTGTATTTGATGAGGAAGATTGGGAAAGGCTTCATTGAAAACGTACATTCCAAAGGACGTGTGGGAAATTAGCAGGCAGAGAAGCGAAGGGTGTCTCAGCCACAGAAAGCAGGGTACACAAAGGTGTCAAGTCAGGGGAATGCCTCCCTAGCTCAGAAGATCCAGCTAAGAGAGGAATCTGAGAATAT